CCGCTCTTTAGTTTGGGTGATTCTACGTAGACAAATGACCCAAAATTTACGTTCGATACCATGATGCAATAAAAATCTTATTTTTGGCCATATTTGACAAAGCTTTTAAGCTTTATTTTTCCAAATTTATGAATTATTATTATTCATTTGTCAATAAGACACATTCTTCCGTACAAGAATGAGTAGATGAGAGTGGTGGGAACTGGAAAACTACAATTCCAACGATACGGCCATCAGAACTACTTTTCTTAATACTAAATCTATATTTATGATTGACTTGATATCCTCAACTCATCCTTTTCCATTCTCTCGGGTCAGAACATTACAAAACAGCGTAATTCAAAATTCCTATTTCTATCATATCCATCTCCTCTCAATTAGAATCTCTTACTATTTCCTGCTTTATTTTTTTATCATGTACAAGTCTTTTTAACAATTAATAAATTAGATATCGAAGCAGCTAAATCTCTTCCAAGCTCGTCATTACCTTCTGTCCAAAAGAATATTGAAAAGGTCAGAAAATCAAAGGAGATAGCATATAATCACTTGAGAATAAAGAGAACCAAGAAAACCCAGATATTTTATCACTAATTCTATTTTTATAGTTTAATCACAAATCATTTACATAGATACCACCCAATTCTTACATATTTGCATATCTAACACATCCTTCCATGCATAAACATGGTATAAGGTAGTATTAGATATGTAAATACATAAGAATTAAGAAGGCATGCATGCAAATGGGCAATCTTTCTAATATAAATACGCATAAAGTTGGCTGCTGAAAACAGAGCCAATAAGAGATAAGAAATACGCCATGGCTCGTCTGTCATTCTCTCTAGCGCTGGCTGCCATGACTGTCATGCTCTTCGGCATGGAAACCGAAGCTATATTTAATCATAGGATGGACGGAGGCGAGGCGGAGGTGCGCGCCACGTATCACTTATACTTGCCTGAAACGATCAAATGGGATTTGGGCGCGGTCAATGCTTACTGCACCACCTGGGACGAGAACATGCCGTTCGAGTGGCGTCATAGGTATGGCTGGACCGCTTTCTGCGGCCCGGTTGGACCGGTTGGTCGAGCTTCTTGCGGCAGATGCCTCCATGTAAGCGAACATTAATTATTACGATTAATTATAAAATTACGTTTCCATTCTGTAATTAAACATGCAATTTGAAAATGATGCAGTTAACTAATGTTGATACCGGGGAAACAACGACGGCGAGGATTGTGGATCAGTGCGACAACGGAGGGCTTGATTTGGATAGGCATGTGTTCAGGGCGTTGGATTCGGATGGCAGGGGCGTATTTCAAGGGCATCTTAGGGTAAGGTATAAGTTCGTGAGCTGCTAAGATGTGGTCATTGGCTTGTAATGGTATGGAGAGTGCGGTTTGCGATAAAATAAGGAATTTTTTTTTTTGTTTTATGATTGGTGATGTACTAATAAATTTGTTTGCTCTTTGTTTTATAATTTTTTATATAGAAAATGATTGGGATTAATTTGTCATTGTGGCAATGTATTATGTGTTAGTTTGTGAGTTGCGTGCTTGAAATATACAAAAATATTCGGTCAGATCGATCATGGATTTTGAGATGGTTAATATGTGAACGGAAAAGTTATTAAGATTGAATAATGGAGGGTTAGAGCTTTAATTTTAATAAGATTTTAGTCAAGGCTGTAAAAATTGGACCACTTGGAAGGTGAGGTTTAAAGTTCAACGGTTCAAAGTACCGGACTGAATCTAGAGTTGAATTAAGTGATGTAATAAATATTTTAATATTGTTTAAGTGAGTAATAATGATGCAATGATATTATTTTTCAAGAATCTAAAATAGAATATTGTAATTGATGACATTTCAGTATTCTGAATATTTTGAATATGATTTAAGTATCAAAATTTTGAGATGTGTGGAAGGTTTGTGGTGGAGTTGGCAGAGAGGTTTCTCTCCAATTTGGAGACCCAATTCAGTGCATATCATAACTGCTGATCATTAATTTCTAACTTAGTTGTCATTAAGAGCCCGTTTGAGGCAGTTTATTTGATGCGGTAGCATTTTGAAAACGCACCTGGCCTGTTTGGGTAAACTGTGCTTTGATAGATTATGCATTTTCAAAATGCAGAAAACTGCGTTTTCACACCGCATCTATCTAGGTGTTGTGGGAGCTTATTATCAACGATCTAGCTTTTCCAAAAAAATAAAAAATTAGTAATAGCTACCGCACCTAGCTTATCAGCAGATTATTTTTAATAAGCTTCAACAAATTATTCAATAAGCTACAGTTGCTCCAAACAGACCATAAAACTCAACTTCCATAACTTTTTTTCAGACATGATATTTTAATTATTTTCTTTATGTTTTAATCGATTTTATTTTTATTTTTATGTCAATGTTAAAAGTAATCCAATAAAAAATTGTTTATAAGTAAAAAATAAGTAAGTATAAATCATTATATGTTTAATAGCAGCAAAACGAATTCAGTATGCAGGCAGGCTAGAGAGGCTGAGGGGAGCAACAGAGCGAGACATAGCAGAGTGAGTCCTAAGCTGACATGCTTGAGAGGCAAGCAAGGCACGAAGAAGAGCGAGGGTGAGCAGAGTGAGCCCTATGTCCTAAGCAGGGCATGGAAGAAGAAAAGTTTTCCAATGGGGGAATATAATGATTTTTATATTATTTAGAATGATTTACACACGTGCCATTCAATTCTTCAGTATTTACATATTTAACACATTTTAATTTTATCATACATGTCACTCACCTATGCATAAAAAAATGTATTTTAATTTAAATAGTAACATTTTTGATGTGATATGAATGATTTTGGGTGTTAGAAATGTAAGAGAATAGAATTTAGGTGTCAGATATGTAATTACATAGAAATTGAGTGGCATGTTTGTAAATGCTTTTCATTCTCGATATTTGAATTATTAATATCACTTAAATCCTGCACATATATTTTCAAAAGTATTCTGACGCACCCTCACATATATTAACTATATTTTTATTTTAAGATTAAATAAAATAGGATGAAAATGCGTTTCAACTTGTACTTTACTGGTGGAAAAAAAATGAATAATCCTACAAATTGTGTTAGATAACTAATTATGCGTGAGAATTAGTGCTCAATTATAAAATGTAAAATTACTTTGGCCAATTTTAAAAATATAAAATAATGTACTCTTTGGGACGTTCTTTCAGCTAAGAAGTCACAACTATTCAGGCGTACTCGTTCAAGTTTTAAGGCATATTCCACTAAAAACAGGGGACCCTCTCAAACTCATGAGCTGTGCACCATCATTGGTTTTAGCAAGTAAACAACTTTCTATAATCAAGTAGAAGACATAAATAAGAACTCAATTAAAAGGTTAATAATCGTTATTATTGTTGTGTGCTAGAGAATTCCCGTTGATAGAGTGATATATTAACGTCTTTGTATTGCACAAAGATCCAATACACAGATAAAAAGAAATTGGGAGAAGACATCAGAAGGTCTTACTTGGAGAACCCACGAGGAAAAAAATCAAGAGATCTGGACTATTTGAAAT